AGGAGGGCACAGGCAGGGTTTGCTCTGGCCAGGCTGGAACAACCCCTATCTGTGGTGGGGAAGGTCTAGCCCAGCAGCGCGCAGAGGGGCCGTTCCAGCTGGGCTGGGCAGTCCCCCTGCTCATCTCCCTTTAAGCAGCTAATTGGTTAAACAATGTTTTCACTAGTTAGCCAATTAAATGGGATTTTACATCCCTACTAGGAACATCATCCTGTAAATATAAACACTTCCTAAGAGTCTTCAGCCATGAAGGATTTTTTTCCAACTCAACATACCAGATGACTCACATAGTCCCATTGTTAACAGACCTTGAATAATTCTGGGTTCCTGTTGGGACAGCTGCCAGAGTTCTTTGGGTTGTTTTTCACTGTGGTCTATGTCCTGGCAAACTGATCCTACCTCTGAAACCTTGGCTTGCCAGAAGCCTCTCTTCTCGAGGTCTAGGAAGGAAGGGTAGAACAAGCTCACTTCTAAAAGGATGGCACTTGCACTGAAACCCTAAACACACAACAAAAATTTACTGCTGCAAATTTAACAGACACAAAGTTTCAACCATCTCTTGAGCACTCTCATTCATATTTTTATTAACTAAATCATTATCTGTACAAAAAACGAAGATATTATTCTTGCCCCATAGAGCTATAATCTACAATGAAGAAATAATAATGCAAAATATTTATACACTCTGAAGAGAAACCAGAGTACTCTGAATGATCAAAAGCTAGTATAGGGAACTGTGTTTAAAATACATTAATATAAGAACTTACTAACACGACTTCTAATGTGGCTGGGAGAATACTGGATGACTGGCAGAAAAGGTGTATTTTAATGAAGGATATGAGCAAAGACTAAGACACTGAACACAGAAAGACATATCTATGTAATACAATATATTTCTGCAAAATGCAGTGAATACTAAACACACATAATGTGTGATTATGTTGTGTCTTTTATATGAAATATGACAAAATGCTTTACAGAGAGAAACTGATAGACACAGAGATGCAGGCCCAGATTTGTAAAGGTATTTAGGTACAGTTAGGTGCCTAACGAGATTTTCAAAACCACCAGATGCATTACAGGAGGAGTAATGGTAGTTCAAATTAGGAGCTTTAATTCGAACTACCTAGCCTGTGCCTCGTGTAACCACAGGCAGGGAGTTCGAACTACCGGGCAATTAAAAATGGCGGCACCCGGGAACATGCAAATAAAGCCCGCAATATTTTAACCCCGAGCTTCATTTGCAAGTTCGAATGACTACATTAGCCACCCTAGTTCGAACTAGGGTGGCTAGTGTAGACATACCCTAAGAGATTGATATACTGGTAATTACTGTTACAAGAAACTGACCCTTTCGCTCAGCACAGGGTTCTGATGAAATCCATGGGAAGATATGCTTTTGATTAGAATTGAACTGAGTGCTCTATTTGAAAATAAAAGGTAAAATTATGATTTTGGATATTCGGAGCTCCTGCTGGCAACAACCATCTTACAGAAACAGTTGTAATTTTGATTCCAGCAGTACTAGAGAACTTTTTTTATACTATAGATATTTTGTATTTATCTTTTGATATAAATCCAGTAAAATTGCTGAACAAAACTTGATTTTTACAGATTGATACTGGTTGCCTGTGTTGTTTGCATCAAAATGTATTTAGGAACATGACTGCGCATGGCAGGAGGTACATAAATGCTGTGATTATCCAGTATCCTTACTTTCAAATATGCCTCTCACTTTGCAGATGACAAAATGGATTATGATCACAACAATTTTCAGAACACAATGCAGGGTCTTACTGGGGTGACTGTCTGTTAATCAGCATGCTATTTTAATATCTTTTTAAAATCAACAATATTATTTCCATATTGTCATCAAAATTTTCCTGTGTTCAACACAATTCATGTGAGGCAATAGTTATTTCACTGTGGAAATTGAGGCATTGCCACAAAGAGTATTTTAAACTGCCGGAGGACCCCAAATATCTGTATCATTCTTTCCCTGTAACATAATTAAACATCAAGTACTTACCACTCTGTAAGACAACATTCACAACCATGGTAGTTATATCTTGAGTACAAGCAGCCTGAAGTTCTTCAGCTGGAGGAGTACTGTAGGTGCTTAGTCCAGTAATTTTGTTGATGTATACCATCTTACCCAATGAAACATCAAAATGTTGCGTCCAGATAGAAGAACACAATGTTGATTTTTCATTTTTAGATTGAACTGCACTTGTGACATCTCCAGGTATTTCCAAACTACTTGATATGGTTACTCTGGGAAGCTCAGTGGCTTCTGAAGTCTGCTTTGCAGATATATCCACAATATTTCCATCTTCACAAATACATTCAGAACTCTTTTTACTGTGTAATGCCAAACCATTGTTTGGAAGGGTCATGTACTCCCCATCTGTGTTGATGAGCAGGGACTGATTCACAATATTTTCTCTGGTCCCTGATCTTGTGCTATACATTTTGCAGGGAGCAGCCTGTTTATCAGAGGCTGATGAATGGATGTAACCATCTACCCCTGCTTCTTGTGAGGACCTTTGACACATTTGATAAGGACTCTGCAAAACATCATCATTTTGAGACAAAAGATGTGATTTGTCAAAATCTTTTCTGCTTAAATCTGTTTGAAATTGTTCATCAAGCTGTCCTACAACTTCTGTAGCTAAAAGTTCCTTGTGGGCACCCTTCATTTTGGACAGTTTAGAAGCTAGTGATCCACTGCTGCTTAGATCTTTCCTTCTAATTTGACAGTAGTCAGTCAATGTCAAGGGACTCTCTCTCACACAAGCAGCTTTTCTGTTTAACAAAGTTTCTTTGGCATAGAACTGAGTCCTCTCCAAGGAAAGGGGGCAACTATCTGGGCAACTATTACTAGCATCAGCATGTTCCAGAGCCGGAGTTTCACAAATGTTAACACATTCAACACTGTTATTCTGATTTTTGAAGGTGTCAAGATCATACAGAGAATCAAGAACATGTGAGGGTTGTAATTCACTCCTCTTATCTGGAATAGATATTGATGGTGCACTCCCAACCTTCCCAAAATGTCTCTTAAATCTCTCTAAAGACCCCAGCTGTATGGACAAGCTCAGCTTCTTATAGGCTTGGGTTCTGGGTGTAACAGATAGCTGAGCCATATGCCTTCTGTTGCTTGGATTATTTTCATTATGAGGAAAACCCAAGGAAGTGACTGGAAGCATCTCTCTAATGTGTGAAGTTACACTCTCTTTTTTACCTCTTGCAGTGATTGATGCTATTTCCTCATTCTTCTGGCCTGATGCAGTCTCATTTTCTAACCATTCATTTGCATATACTGTACATACTTTTCTATTGGATAGTAAAGTACGCTCTTTATTTAAAACATTAGAAATATCCTGAACATTTAGACTCTGAACTGAAAAACTCCTCTTAGTTCTATATATGTCCTTGGCACTTACAGGGCCAAGTCTAGAATTCCTTTCAGTTTGTTCATGTTGTGACTGATTTTGCAACATATGAGTTATAAGGCCTGTGGAATACAACTTTGGTGGAACTGATCTAGCTACCCTTCCTGCAGAATCATTATTTGGCCCTTTACTTTTTCCACTGTCTTCTTTCATCACATCATACATTTCCATCAATGCTCTCCCTGGTCCATCAGCTGTATCTTCAACTCTCTCATGCTGCCCCAGCATTACACCATTTTCAAAGGCAATATTGATGTTGCTCTTCTGAGCTGCTCTGTCCTGTGTTCTTGTATCTTCCATACAATTCTCAGTACAATCTGGCATTTCAGCATAACTGTCTATTTCTACTTCTTCTGATATGGATTCTCCACAGAGATTTTCTGAAGACTTGGGACTATTGAACTCTTTTGGCTCTTGTTCTAATATATCTGATTCTAAGAAATCAGAAGTTATGCTTTCTTTGTTGAGCAGAGGACTCACAGTGTCCTCTGATTCAGCAAAGATCAGAGCTGGGGAGACTTCTTTTTCTGCAGCATTATCTTTTGAAGCTATTAGATCTGAAGATTTTTCCTGAACCACCACTTTTCTTTTGACAGCTTTTGATTGCAAATTAAACATTTCATAGGAATCTACAATATCATCACAAGTTTTCCTAAAATTGTCTTGTATGCTCTTTTCTTCAAAGAGCATAGGTTGCAGAGCTCTGGTCCTGTACAAACTAAATCCATTGTCTTCATCAAATTCTTTTATGTCTTCACTAGACAGTTCAACAAATAAGTGTTCTTGCTTTAAAAATGTTTTCACTCCTTCCTCTATGCAAGCCAAAAGAGCATCCCAATTACGGAATTCTATCAGAGTTTTTGCAGGTTCCAGACTCACATCATATTCACAGTATTGACATTTCACATTGATAACAAAGATTCCATAGAGTTCTGGGCCACGATGCCGAATAGGACTTGAACTCATTTGTCTGTTGGCAGGGCCCCCTTTTGTTTTGCAAATAACACTTTCTTTCCTCAATAAAAAGTCCATGAGTTTATGCAATCTTGTTTTTAAAACCAACCTATTATTCACATACAAAAACTGCATATTCTTATTGTAATGCCCTTCAGAACTGATATAGCCACTTAACTCAAACCCCCCAGATGTATAATTTATTTTTCGTAATTTCTGTGTTCTACCCAGTCCATAAATTTGACAAAAACGGGAACACATATCTTTTGTCTTGGGGAGTTGAAGCATCATAGAACAAGAAGCATCATTTCTTAAGGAAAAGGAGACGGAAGGATGCATGAGTGAGAGAGCTTCTACCTTCTGCCTCACCCTCTCAAATTCCAGCATGAGATCCATGCACTTTCTCCTCACGGGTAATTGATGGAATAAGTTATACACAGTCACTGTCGTTCCACCACTTGGTCTAGTCAATTCAGCTTCACAGACCTCAAGTGCTTTCCCATTCTGAAACAGTTTCATGAAGGTTTTCGCAATCTTGTTAGTCTTGGATGAAATTTCTACAATGCTGGCCACACTTGCTATGCTGGCCACAGCCTCCCCTCGGAAACCATAGAACTTCAGATTCTCTAAATCCTCCACTGACTTGCACTTACTAGTGAAATATCTATTACCCACTCTATTTAGGTCCTCTCTCCCCATCCCAGAGCCATTGTCCACCACCTGGACCTTGAAGGTTTCCAAATCCACACGGATGGCCACACATGTTGCTTTAGCATCAATACTATTGAGGACAAGTTCCTCAACACACTGGCCCAGTGAGTTGATGGCCACTCCAGAGCGTAACCTGGTTCGTACATCTTCCACCAAACATTTGATCATGGCAAAAGTAGAAAGATGAGGAATCCAAGAAATTTCAGGAACATGATTCCTCCTCCTTTGGAATAGTCCACTGTTAAAGAAAACAGACAAAGTTACTCAGAGTCCGAAAATCTGTTACATTTACTGTATAACAAGTTACCATTTAAAAAAGTTAATTTTGCTTCCATGAATGCATGAATTTTGTCCC